ATTTTGTTTCTTTTTTTTTTCAAGGTGGTGGCTTGTAGTTTTGTATACGGAGGAGTTGCAAAGTCTAATAACACTAACAAGACTATCAAACAAGAAAGTGAACCAAAGGAAGAGCAAAACAATAGCGAAATGGAGACCACACCGACTAATGCACCAGAAGCAGCAGCACCGGCGGCTCAGCAGACACCACAGAACTTTTCATCTCAGGCAATGAGCGGATGGCCCGGTTCAGGCACAGGCTCAGTCTCAGGCTCTGGCAGGTCACTTGACTCTAGCAGAAACCTACTCACTGATATTGATCTTACTCGCGGATGATTCAAAAACAAACAATATTATTAGTCTTTCTTCCGGTTTACTACCCCACTACCTTTAGCCTTTGAAGCAGCAGCAGCATACAGAATGTGAGTGCTGTAAATATCTTTGTTGTTGTAGAAATATCTTTATCTCTGGGAATGTTAAAACCAGAAATCTCAAGATTGAGACAGATCTCTGAGTTCCTTCTAACAATGTTAATGTAACAGAACCCCTCTCTTCAGGTTATTTATGGAGACTTTAACTATTTATCCCATGAAGTTCTCTTTGTTTTTCTTCAGTAAAGGTCTTAAATTAAGGTTTCAGTTTTGAGTGATTGGTTTTATTGATATAAAAACCGAAGTGAAACCAAATTTAGTTTTGATTGATTACTTGTGTTGGCCTGAGCTTCAGATTGGATATTTTTTTTGTGGTTAGTTCGGACTGGATCAATTTGGTTTATCCGAATTGAACACCCCAAATTCTTGGGTTCTTGATAAACCGGCTTTTGGTTTGGTTTGCTAGAATGGGATATTTGGTTTATTGAGTTCTTCATCTCTTAAAGAAATCAAAACATTAGTATTTGTTTTAAGTAAGCTTGATTCTCTTATTGTCACATAACTGATATGTTTCTATGTACTAATGATACTCTGGTTTAATAAAATACGTCAATTGACATAATTATACATTACAACTCCTAAACTCTTCTCTGATGTGAGAGACACGGTTTTAGCTATGGAATCTTGTGATAAAGTAATTAATAACCGTTATTAATTCACTCTATAAAATAATCTTTTGAGGTCAAATGACAACAAATAATATCCCACCAATCCACTCTAACTTTATAAGTTTTTAAATTTCACAAAAAAACTATCAAAAGACATTCTTCAATTAATAACCATTATAAATTTACTCTATCTAAATATCTAATTTATTATTTACCAGTTAAGCTAGATTCCTTCTATCAATATCATTAAAGTCTACTTTATCGTCTATATATATATTTATGTTTTTCAACTCATGTCTTTTGAGAATTTAGGTATTCGATTCTGTTTAAACAGCTTAAGTCTAAATCTTCGAATTATAGATGACCAGGTTGAATACTTTATTTCCATTCGGTTATTAAATTTTGGGTCCCTTAAATTTTCGTAAATGGAATAAACCAAAAACCATACCAAGTCAAATAAATCAAACTAAAGCAAAAGCATAAGATACAACGAAAATTCAACCGTCTTTCCTTTTTGAAACCTTTTGTTTTTCAATGCTTATTTTTCATAAAAGGTGAGATACATTTAAGCTAATCCTTAATAAACTATTATATGAATTTATAAATATAAAATATTTTCTATATAATGTATTCTTTTGTAAATATAACAATTATGTATTTTTCTATTACAAAATTTATAATATTATGCTGATTTAGGAAAGACCATATCATTTTATAGAGATTAATATTTGATTATGTGAAATAAATAAAAAAGTCACACCAATTGTATATAATTTTTAAATTTTCTCATATTCTTTTTTCTCTTTTTCTTTGAGCCATAACTATATAAAAAAGAACTTCATAACACATTACACACAAATGTTTACTTGTATTTTTAATATTCTTCTCTGTTGTCACCATTAACGAATTATACTTCTCTCCCTTTTCATTCATCTGAAGCTCTTTAAAACTTGTGATGTTGCGCTCTATTCCTCTGCAACTATCATTGTCAAATAATGTCTATTTTTTTGCTAGAATGAATCCGTTCATTTTTCACGTTGTAACTGAAGATATATTTGAGCCAAATACAATCTAGTATTACTAGATTGAAAACGATTTGGTTTTGCCATATTAATATATAAATAAATAGACTTTTCATATTTTCTTATTTAAAACCATTAATTTAATGGGTGTAGACACATGTCATTTCCAAATTCATTGATATTGCTAATATGGCAAAAAGATAGAGATAGCTCACCACTTTTCATATATATGATTCTTCTCTGTGCTTTGAGTCGGCAAATCTCCGGTTTTTTCTTCCACTGCCGCCAATCTTTAGGTCCTTCTCTTCAATTTTTTTTCTCAGATTTAAAAAAAGCTTTTTAAACTTCTAAGTTCAAATAACAATCTTGGATCCCCTATGTATCTGTTTTAGTAAGTTAAAGTAGCTCACAAGTGTGTCGAAACCCATATAGTGGTGGATTTAGAAATTATTTTTATCAGGGATAAATCCAAAACCCGTTCAGAGATTTAAAATAATAGAAATAGGAGAACAAAAAATGGTTTGTGCACTATTTATGAAATAGAAGTAGCTGAAGTAAAAAAATTAAAAGGATAAAAATTGTTTTGGTAAGTTGAAGTAGCTCCCTTTAAGAGAATAGAAGTAAGAAAGAAAAAAAAAATTGTTTGTGCACTATTTTTTAAAACGATTTTGTTTTTGTTGAGAACAGTAATTTACATGATATTGGATACCACCAGAAATGCAATAATGTTGGTCTTACCCACCTTAGTTTTGCAGATGACATCATCGGTTTATCGGATGAAAAGTTACGGTTAATAGAATTATCAAGGTCTTTAAAGAGTTCGCAAGGATATCAGGCCTTAAGATATTTGATTTGGTTTGCTAGAGTGGATATTTGGTTTACTGAGTTCTTCATCTCTTAAAGAAATCAATACATTTGTATTTGTTTTAAATAAACTTGATTCTCTTATTATCACATAATTGATATGTTTCTGTGTACTAGTGATACTCTGATGTCTTCATCAACCATGAGATGATGCTCGTTTTATCGAGATAACTAGATTAATTGTTGAGAGGAACTGGTTTGGATATATGAAACAAAAGCGGAACGAATTTAAATCAAAGTCAATGTCATCGTTCGTTTTATTACATGAGAAGTTCATGATCAAAATGCAGTTAGCAACACAGGCGATTCAGAAACAAATCTCCACCATTTTAGGAGATATTCAGAAGCTTCTTTATGTCATGCTGCAGCAAAATTGAGACAGAAAAATTAGAAGAGAGGGAGATGGTGTTTGAGAGAGAGAGAGAGTCTATTTCTTTTACCTCAAGTGTAAGAGGAGAAGTAGTTGGATAATAACGTTCGACGGCTTGACCAGTTTTGTCAACAAGAAACTTAGCAAAGTTCCACTGAATGTCGTCGCCGAAGATTCCCCATTTGCCTTTCTTTAAGAACTTATAAAGAGGAGAAGCATTCTCTCCATTCACTTCAATCTAATACACAATGGCAAAGATTCAAAATCGTTTTTAAAACTTCAAGACAGAGCAAAGTGTAATGAATTCGTCTTGAGCGGTTTACCTTGTTGAAAATGGGGAATTCAGATTTGAAGCGAGTACAGACAAAGTCGGTAATTTGGTCAGTAGTTCCCGGTTCCTCTTCTCCGAATTGGTTACATGGAAATGCCAGAATCTCTAGACCTGCAACAGAACAACATCAAGTTGAGAAGCTAAAACAAAAGAGTTGAGACATTTGCTGAAATCAATTACCTTTGTCTTTGTACTTGTTGTAAAGCTCATTCAATTCCGTGTAGTTTGAGTTGGTCATCCCACTGAGAGACCACCAGAGTATAAACAAGACAAGAAAGAAACATCCGTAAAAAAACAGACAACATTGCAAATCGAAATAGCTGATAAGCATAGAAGATTAACCATTTGGAAGCAACATTGACAATTAAAAGGACTTTGCCTTTGTATTGACTGAGTTCGAAGCTGTCCCCCTTTGCATCCTGTTGCAAGCAGTAGAAGAGAAAATAGCGATTTTATCAGCTAAAGACTCTCAGTTTAAAACTACAGAGCTTAACACAAGAACACAACTAAACATTGTAGAGAACAATCTGTGACACATAACTCAGAGACCAATCATCAGAAGAAGACAAAGCAAGGATCAAATTGATAACAATCATCTCTCATGATCAACTTGATTATACTCTATCCGCTTGAAAACCCAAGAAATTCTAAAACAAACATATGAAACACAAGACAAATCATTCCTTAGTGAAGATCATTGTCACATTTCTTACCCAACAACGAACACTCCTCTATTAGAATCAGCAAGGCATCATAAAGTCAAATTAAGAGTATTTCTTGAGAAACAAAACCTAAGCATTCATATAGAGCTCAAGATGCAAGCTTTTTTCACCCTCTTAAGACCTTTAATCAAAGGTTCTTCCTTTTAGTAAAAAAGACACACATTCAAGTTATTAGAGTGTTGAATCGATGGTTAAAGTTAAGCAATTTTTTCACCTCAATGGTTATCTCGTAAACAGATTCTGGGCCCTTCGTCGCCATTGGAGTTGAATTTCAGAAGCAGGAGAAATGAGAGACGAGTCAACAAGGAAAGACAACAGAAGCTGAAAGGCGTGAGAAATGCAGATTCTGACACACAATTCGTGTCATGTTTTTTGGGCTTACTGGGCTTTTACTAGTGGGCCAGATTCAAAATGTTTTTAGCGTCTTTTTGTTTTTGGGAATACTTCATAAACGCAGCAAATATGTTTTTTTTTTTGAAACTCAAATTTGTTTTGTTTATAACTTGTAGACTACTAGTAAAAGTTTTTTTTTTTTTTACCAACCAACATACAATTCTACATCTTTTTTTTTTTTTTACAATCTTTTTAAATTTTTATATTTCAAGTTAATTATAAAATCAAATATGTATACGTAATAAGAATTCAAATTAAATATTTAAATGGCTAGATTTTACTACTGATTTTTTTTTTTGAATATCAAAAACTAAAAAAGTTTTTTTTTACAAATGCTATTTTATGTTTCTCCTATCAAGCTATCTGCTTACAAGTCATCACCACCATCCATGAGGCAATTTAAAACATATTTGAATTATTGTGCAAAATCAAGAGGTCACATTCTCTTTTTGAGAGTCCTAATAATATTCAAAAAAACGTACTACATGTCAAATTGATAATGAAATTCACAAAAAAAAAAAAAAGCTTACAAATTTTTCGAAATCTTATGAAGTAAACTATCCATAGTAATATCAAAAGCATCTCGAAACCTCTCAAACTTAGCATTAGAATCTCCATAAACCAAACCAGGCAAAAGCTCATGAACGATGTAACTCCTCATATCCTCTCTTTCCCTTAGAGTCTTTGACATCAACTTCTCAATCACATTCACCTTCTTTGCCTTCAAATCCTCTTTGTTTATATACACCGAGTATCGATGACGGCATGGGTTTCAGCCTGGTGCCGTGGCGTCCGGTGATCGAACGGCGGCTAGGGAATACAACCCGATACGAGTGAATCAAAAACCGACTTCCTCGTTGGACTGTCTCCAGGTGGCTGAAGACAGAACTCTGAATCTTGGAAAAGCTCAATAATCGATTCCGGTTTATCGCAGCCTCCATCGGTACAGTTCAAGAACCGGCATTGGTTTGGAAATGATGTGCATTGGTCAATCAATGTTGACCGGATGCTATCAGGATTACCGGGTCTTGCTCCACCGGCGAAGCTAATTAGGCTCCGGCGAGGTTTTACGATGATCTTGTTTTGCCAGCTTGAGATCTCATCATCAGTTTTTGGGTGGAAGAACGTTGGGTGAGGTATCGCGACGTCGTTGACTTCCCATGGATTACGTTCGATAAGAAGTTTTGTAGGGTTTTTCATTTCTTGCATCTCAAGTAAACTTGAGCCCCAAGAAAACTTGTTGTTCCTCCTAAAATCCCAAGAGATCTTGCCAAGAACGAAAACATGATCTTTCCCGGAGTTTCTCCTCCATGACTTTTTTGATCCGAGCCATTTAACAACCTCGATCGCCAAAACATCCTTCACATCCTCAGAAACGTTCTTGAAATGCCATCTCAAAACATCGATACCGCCATAAAAAGGCACGTAGAAGAGCTTCGCTTGGTTCTCGTCATAAACCCTACATGGATGCTTCAAAACCCTAGAGTGAAAGATCGGCTCAAGAGAATACTGATTTGTTTTAAACCAGCCTTTACCAAGATTCTCAATCGATTCACCAAACGCATCATTCTTGAAGAAGCTGCAAAAATTGGCCCATGGAACCATATCCGAGCATTCTCCCAGCAAATCTTTGTTGAATTTAGATGGTAAATCGTAAACATAAACCCCTTTTCCTTCGCAAGATACAGTTTTTTCGTGGTTCTTTCCCATCGATAACCAAGATCTTTGTATTTGAAGATACTTGTCCACGGCCTTCAGAGCGGTCTCTTCATCTTCATCCTTTGAATTGATGTACCGATATCGATATTCTCCGGTTTCTAAACCCCAATCAACGAGGAGGTCTGGATTGATCTCGTTCTTGGGTTCAGAATCTTGAACAAGAATGGAATCAAGATTCTCCTCATGGGTGAGTTTGAAATCTTGATCAAGAAAGGAAACTCTTTCTCCCGTGGACGTTTCATTCTTTATGATGTTGAGGCTTGTTCCCACTACAGATTCTTCTTCAGAATCTCTTTTTCCGGTGAAAGTTTCATTCTTTGCGAAACCCTTGTCTCCATCTTTACCAAGAACAACAACACTCTTCTCCTCTTCACTTCTTATCACATTTTCACTAACCGGTTTAGTGAAATTGCTAAGCGCTACACGTGAACCGGGCTGAGAACCGGCTGTGAGACAGTAAAGATCGTTGAGCTTGCGCGAAGAGATGCAAATATGAAGGACGTTACCGGAGATAACGGTCGTGGAAGTTGACCAAAGATAGATCAAGAAGAGAAAGAGAATCGTGAGAGGAACACGATAGAGAATTGATCTAGAGCAAATGTTACCACACCAAATACGAGGATCTTTAAGTGATTTCTCGGGTTTTTCGGTTTCGGTCTTTTTGGATGACCTTGGTCGTCTCTTTGAGACGGAGATAGGCATTTTCTTCTTTGGTTGTTTTAGGATTCTCTTTTGTGTGTAACGTTTTGTATATGTTTTGCTGAGAGACATGCACGCACGTCCGACTAATAATTGTTTATATGATTATTAAGGTAGCACGTCTTGGTGTAACAAACTTAATCATATCATATATAAGACTAATACATCCGAATATAATTTGTAAACGATAATAGTTGTGGATCCGTATGTGTATTTTTATATTCATTGAATATCTTGACAATCAACTTTTTCCATATGCTTGACACATCAGTATTGGAGAAGTTGACACCTGTCAACTAAATTTTAAATAATAAATTTTAATATTAAATTTTAAAGCATTTAAAGAATATGAAAAATTTGTGTTAACTAACATTTATATAAGCACTTAAAGAATATGAAAAGATTGTATTAACTAACATTTATATTAATATTAAACAAAAATTTATGTTATAACTAATTAAAAATATTGATATATATATATATATAATTTTTATATAACTGATGATTATTTAATAATATTCAAGATGTTAAAATTAATTTTTAAGATTATTTATAATAAAATAATAACAAGTAACAAATAAAATGATGATTATATTAATTTTAATTTTTTTTATTAATTGACTATTAATTAATATTTGTGTAAATGTCAAACAAAAATTTATGATATAACTAATTAAAAATATTGAATGATATGTATTAATTTAAATATAATTTTAGATTATTAAATAATATTCAATATATATTTTAAATTAATATTTTAAAAAATTTTAGAATAAAATATTAACAAGTAAGTAAATAATAAGTGATGATTATATTAATTTTTATAAAAATATAATAAAAAAATCGAAAAATTTGAAAAGAAAAATCTGCACGTTACGTGCGGGTATTCACCTAGTCTATACTATAAAAGAGGGTCAACTCTCTCCAGTTGCTTGCCACGTCAGCACTGGAGAGAGCGCCACGTGGCTTTGATAATTTTAGGGTTGACCGTCTCCATTCACCTCTGTCGATTGTCGCTTCTTCTTCTTTCTTTTTCCTTTCATATTTTTCTCTCTTCAGCTTCTTTCTTAACTTCATCCTCCTTTGTAACTCTCATCCTACACAAATGAGTGAGAAAGATGTCTCTTTGGCAAAATGTTAGAAAAAGAAATTCAAACAGAGGAGATGTCGCAAAGATTTAGAGTAATTCTAAATTGGTGAAGAAAGGTGTCTCTTCCGATGAAGGTTCAGGTTCGTTTCTAGAAAGCAAAACATTGCTCTTAAATCTAAACATCTCCTCTGAATTGATTTTGGAAAAAGACCTCCCCAGTTACTACCCTCTTACTATTCTCTTATTGGCAGACTTTGCTTAATTACTCGACGTGGGCGTCGACAGATTGTCTGATGCTTCTTCGTCGCCTCCGATCGGTTATGCTATCACTCCTCCTCCGTGGCAGGTATCTCATCAATTGATATTAACCTAAATCTCACAAGTTTCGAAAATTTGCCCCCATGATTAGTTCAGTATAATGGCTGTTAGATTGACTTTCAGAAGTAAAGGTATGAGATCTGTATATTTTAGAAGAGATTTTTTCTCCAATTCAGAAGATTAATGGTAATTATCTGTCCTTTGGGCAGGTCATAATGCAAGATTAACGGAAATAAGTTGGTTAACAGCCTACATCTCTTACGGAATCGAACAGGTTAAGTGGGTTATTTAAAAATCTCTTTCAACTTGGAGGCTGCCTCTTTCTCATCTCTATGTTGTTGTCAAGTCGGTTTCCGAAAATGGGGTTCAATCGACCAAACCTATCATTAAAATTAATGGTATTGTAATATTGTTGAAGGTAATAAACCTTACATATCTCTATTATTTTGCTTTTACTTAAATCCATTGGAAATCGAATTTGAACACCAAATATACAGTCATGGCTCTATTTTTATGATTAAAAAAGAAGAAACAGATTCATGAGTGATAGTGTTGACAGAGAAGAGAATTTGGCAGCAGTGGGTATGATTAAAATGTGTTTTCTTATCCTATATTCTTTTCAGTGCTCAGGTTTTTTGCTTCACATTCTTCCTCTCTTGAAATAGAGTTAGTTCAGAAGAACAAATTTGGGAATTCATCAACACGATTGACAAGGGTTTTAAGTTGAATTATCTTCCAAAAGGTAAGTTTTTTATCATCTATGTGAATTATGCGATGTATAACTGTACCTTTTTCTCATCACCCTTTTGTGATTAGTTGGGTAATCTGTGGTATTTCAGTAGTAACAAAAGTGATTTAAATTTGTTGTCGTTTCTGCACATTTGAATACAATCTGCTTACCTTTCCTTAAACCCTTCTTATGCAGAGGTCATATATCAACTATATTCATCCAATAAGGCGTACAATGAGAGCATATAACAACAGTTCTTCTGTTTTTCTTGTGAGTTTCTTATCTAATAGTAACGTTTTATTGGTAAGACCTCTTCAAAGAGGTCTGCCTAATGCTTTGGTATATTTGGCCATAGGTTTCTCCCGATGAGATAAGTGTTTCAAGAGATAGAAAACAAAAAAAATTCTTAGCAGGCGAAGACACAAGGATTTAGTTGGAAATGTGGTGGCTTATTTTAAGATATAGAGTTGAGGTGAGTAATATCTGTAGTAATGTAAGATCAATATAAGAGGAGATTCAGTGGAAGATAATGTTTAGAGGCTTGAATCGCTGTTCACATTATTTCCTGATAGATACTACAGAATTGTGATTGTTGCTTTTACTAGAAAATTATTCATATCATGGCAGGGAAAGAACTGCAACTAATTTATTTTCATTTCATCTCTCAAATTCTTTTACCAGAATAAATATATATCACCGGAATCCCTGAAATGGAAGCTAAAGTTATTATATTTCATCTCTGGAGTTCTCTGCAATGTACTCTATATTCGTGTCGTTGGAAGGAGCAAGACCTTGGAGTAAATCAGGGATTCAGGCCTTATGCTCTTTACATATTGCACTTGAGATGGCGAAGAATATTCTTCAGCATTGTTCTAAGTGTAGTAAACTTTAGTTGGTGAGTTTTTCTCTTAATTTTGCCCCTCTCTCTCTCTGGATGAGTTTTACACTCCCTCAGTAACACAATTGATTTATATTCACATGAAGAGGATTGTTTGCAATTCAATATTCCATTGGAGTGGCTTGCCAATTTTTTTTTATGTCATTGGTGCTATATTTTTTGTATCACATGTATAATATATAAAGTTCATTTTGTTTGTGTTTTGGCTGCAGAAATTCTTTAAGACGGCATGAAGGAGCACTACTTGCATATGAATGTCCTAGCGAGTATTGAAAGCTATACATGAAGCTATATTATATACTCATGGGTTAATGTCCCATGCTTTTCTGTTTCAGTCTCGCCCACTCAAAGCTATCATTATCTTCAATGATCCGGAGTCAGAGCTGTCCTATCATTAGTCTTATATGAGAAGGAAGTCCTCCTTCTCGCTTGGTGGTATGCATCTTCTCTCTCTCTCTCTCTCTCTCTCTCTCTCTCTCTCTCTCTCTCTCTCTCTTTGGTCTGACTAACATGTGTGTTTTTGTTCAGCGAATCACTTAATCGAGATCTTTATGTCTCTTTCGTACTACCTACAAAACAAAACAGTTACAAAAATGTCTTGATCCTGATCGTTGGGGGGGACTGGTCTCCTACTACAATAATCTAATTGTTGGACGTCAATAGGTTTTGCCAATTACTCTGATTATCAACCTTTGTCAAAAATAAGTATCTTGGACTAGAAATGTGTTGAATCTGTATATGAGGTATTCGTTGACAATATATACATTATCAATGTTGGTTTCAGGTTTAGAATTTGCAAAATGAAAAGTGAAAACTATGAAGAATATTTTGTTGACAATAAGTTCAATGTACCGATTAGTTCAAACGTTTAGCTTCTAACACATTAACAGTCTCCATCTGTTTTATTATGAAATACGTATACCTCATACCATAAGTTATTCACTTATTCCATTCTACTTAAATAATAACAATACAAAGTTTGTAAAATTACATCAACAAAAATCGGTATTACTTATCAAAATTTTCAAACAACCAAAAAAAAGAAAAACAAATAATTATTATAAAACCATCCGCACGTAGTGCGGGCACTCACCTAGTTATATCAAAATCAACCCAACCCAAGCACGAAATAAACACTCCAACTTTCAACACAAGTTTTTGAGAAGAAGTTTCTTATGGTGAGGAAAAATTCACTGTACCTTTCGATTCGATAATTATATGGGTCATGGATCCAAAATAGCACAAGGTTTACTTAGCTTTTCAAATTAATTAAAAATTTTAAGTATCTTTAGTTACTTGATGTTCAGAAGAAGCTTCTTATGGTGAGGAAAATTTCACTTTACCTTTCTATTCGATAATTATATGGGTCATGGATCCAGAATAGCACAAGATTTACTTAGCTTTTCAAATTATTTTATTAAGTATCTTTAGTTACTATAGTCCAAAATTCTCAGGAAAGCGTTATATTAAGGTATCTATGATAAGACATTGTCAAATTGGACTGAGGGACATGATTTGATTAAATAATGGGTTAGTGTTTCAGACATGGCAAACATATTAATTGGGTAGTTGCTCTGTTATTGGCAATAAACTAACGTTGGAGTGAAGTTAAGATCAGCTCCCACAAGAGCATTGACAAAGCAAAATGGATTTGGCTAACACGAATAAAGTTCCAAAACAATGTTGGTTTATTGTTTTCGATTCTATTTTGATCTTAATTAATCTTTTACTTGTAATTAACCAGAATATTTCTTTGAATAAACTTAACCAGAATATTTTTCACTCCATTTTTAAAAGACTCCGAGACAACATATATTTAAAATGATATAATCTCCTACCAACAACATAGCCCTCTCTACGTAATTAAAAAAAAAGTACCATTACATAAGTCTGTGGAATCTGATTTCTCTGTATAAAATGCAACATTTCTTAGCCTAAGCGCATTCCTCTCGTGATCGTAATTAGCAACATGATAATTCACAACACCATGCATACGTTATTCTCCAATCGTAGGGTACAAAAATAACCTCACCAGTAACCAGTATGAATAGTGCTACATGTGCGTAAAGCAGCATTGCCAAATAAATATGGAGTGAATATTCAAAGGCTAATTAAGGTTACTTTCTAATCAAAGATGGAGAATGCTCCCGAAGCTAAGATTGCACGCTAGTCTCTGTTTAATCAAGAAACAAGATCCAACTTCTCCGTCCTCACATCGAATCTAATTAAGCACCAATCCATCATATCCGTACCTGTGAAAGCGCCATAATACAAAACCCCATTGATGCACACACCATCAGTTTTTGGGACGATGAAGAATGTTACATTCTATCATTCTCCATGATTGTGATCAACTGTTCCTCCTCCTAGTGTGAATACTTGATGCTCAGAAGACAGTACATACAAGTAATCTTTTGGATCGTATCCAAAAAAGCTTTGAATGATCTTTTTTCTCGACTTTACTTTCGGCAAGGTTATGGACTTACCGGTGCTAGGGTTAGTACTGATTTGTTGTTCACCATATCCGAGGCTTATCAAAACTAGTTTGCCTTTACAAAAGGTATCAAGAAATAATTAAATAGAACCACTTCTTCTACAAGTATAGAAAGTTTGCAACAATTCAGAAGCCATCTCTTTTCTTCCTCTCCTCTTTTCTATGCTCTAACATCGTATTTTAAATTTCACTAACAATACTATGTGACTTCTTTAAAAACGATTCCCTGCTAGCTCTGTACAGACTTTTATTTCTTTCCTTAGTATTGAATAATTATAAAATAATAAGAAAAGTCTATAATGTTCATTATGGGCACAAAAAATAAACTTGAGATGACCAATATTTAATATCCGTTGCAAAGTAATTGAGAACTTATGTTAAAAAAAAAAAGTAATTGAGAACTCAAGCCAAAAGACGACTCGAAACACGTGTTTTCCTTACAACAACATAACACTCTCTACGTAATCAGTAAAAGGAACCATAAGAGAAAACCGCCTCATTAATTCTTTGCCTGAATTATATTCTCTACTCTTAACAATAATATTCTTTTGGTGATCATAATAGAGAAAATAAAAGTGTCCAGGCGGGTTCACTACAAAAACAATCTCATCCGTATGAGTAATGTCTCCTCTGATACGCAGTGAAGGATGAAGCAGATGATGAACAGAGAAACATACCTTGGACCATTCATGTTTCTCAGCATCTTCCAAAGCCCACAATTCAAACCTCGTTATTCCAATTTGAATGGCTAAAGTTACTTTCCCTTTGTAACGTATCAAAGAAATATGGCTAAACAAAGATGGAGGAGTATCATGATCACCCAAGAATCCTACCACTTGACCAAACTTTTCAGATCTCACATTGAATCTCACTAAGCAACATTCATTCTTGCTCATACCCGTCAAAGCGCCATAATACACAACCCCATCGATGCATAAACCGTTAGTTACGGGACCATGAAGAATGTTACATTCAATCATCCTCCAAGATTTATCAACTCCTCCCAACGTGAAGACTTGATGTTCAAAAGACTGAGAACGCCACTTACCATACATTTTTTGAGACATGCACAACACGTTATACTGAGCATCTAGTGGATCGGACCCTAAAAAGCTTCGGATAAAATTTCTTCTTGTTCTTACTTTGGGTAAGGTTGTGGACTTACCGGTGCTAGGGTTACATATGATTTGCTGTCGACCACATCCAAGATTTATCAAGCCATTAACGTAATGAAGAACATCATTGACCCGGCTATACGGGCTAGTGATATTTGAGCATGCCGTAAGAGATAAATAAGAGAGTCGTTCTGAAGTTGATGAAGACGAGAAGAAGTTCCAAATCTGACGTAAGTTTTGGTTATCTAAATCTTTGAATGCCAAGAGTAGACGATAGGGTTGAATAAGCGAGCGTTGAAACGGGAACGATCTGATGAATTCTCGACTTCGGATGATTGTTGCCCATAACTTGGATACAAGTAGAAACCTAGCGACGGATTTCACGGGCAATCTCCTTAAGATCTCGATTACCAGATCTTGAGGAACTAAATCTTCATCAATATCTCTTCTTGTCTCCGAAGTTTTAGCTCGAGACTCGTTCTCGATCTTTCTTCTTTTGTTGCGATGTCTAGTTCTGATGACGTTTCTTGCTTTCGAAAGCATAAACCCTCATCTCTAAACGTGTCTCCTCCTCTTTTTGCCTTGTGATATTATGTTAATATATACTCCTTCCATGATAAAATAATTGATGTTTAAGGTTGAAAATAATTAAAAGTTATTTAATTTTATATTAGAAACTGAAAACATAAAACAAAAATCTTTTTTTATTAAAATAGAAGCATATTTTTATATTTATAGTCTTTTTTAAATTAATTGAATAGACGGATTAAAATTATATTTTTATAATCGTAGTCAAATTTCTTAAAAAATAAATTAAAAAAAGAAATTTTATCTATACAAAATAAATTGTATCATTTATTAAAAAAATATTATATCTATAAAAAATGTAAATTATATTATAAAATTAAACTAAAAAACAAAATTTTCCGGACGTACGTAATAGTAATAGTAGTAGAATCAGTAAACCTTTAAGAAGGGAGGAATCATTTAGAGAAAAAGAAAATAATTTAAATAGTAATTTTGAGGCATAGGTTAAATTAGACAAAGGTTTTTGTAAATAGTTAATGGTTAAAACCTTAGTTTTTCAGTTTTTTTTTTTATAAAAAAAACAGCAAACAATCTGTTGTCGTTGTGACATTTCTTCTCAGGCTATCACCAAGCCAGTGTTCTAGAGGAAGAAGATGAAGCAGAATTAGTGTTTTATTTGTTCTTATATACTTTTTGTAAGTGGAGAATCAGCTATTTTTACTATGATATAGTAATATCATAGCCGAAGCGAAGAACAAAACTCCATCTTCTGTTTTCCATTTCCTGTCATTATTGACTTATAACTTTTACAAGTATTGAACAATGTTATGACACAACGGCCAACAATAATGATACAAAGACATTTTAATAAGCACAAAAAAACCATTATTTCTTGAAATTAAGAACAACATAGACTATAGATATAATTATAGATCAAATGTTTGTTAAAAAAGAAAACATTACAGAAAGCCGTTGAAACTGGTTCTCTAATTTAGAATGAACCAATCTCTCTCTACGGCTATCATCTTGTGATCGTAACAGACAACACAATGCGCACCAGACATACTTTCGACATTGTTAGGCAATAAAACAATCTCACCCGTATGAGTAGCGCCTATGATGTGTAATACACAGTGTTGACCAGGATACATCCAAGACCTCCAAGCAATAGAGAAACAAATACTCGACCATTTCTCAGCATCTTCCATATAACCCACAAATAAAATGTGTTATGTGAACTTGTAACGGCTAAGGTTACTTTACCATTGTAGTTTATCAAACATGGAGAAGCATGAGAAGATTGTACATACTCGTATAATCGAGAAAAGAGATCCAACTTCTCAGTCCTCAAGTCGAATCTCATCAAGCACCATTCCAACATATCTTTTGCCCATAGAAGCCCCATAACACAAAACCCCATTGATGCACAAACCTTTCTTCTTCTTTTTCTTCTCAAATGATAAACCCTAATTAATCTACCTTCTCTTGTTAAATTAGGTTAATATGTATATATATAGAGAGAGGGAGAAGAAACAAGGAAAATAAACCCTAACTCACAAAAGAACCTAACAATCAAGTTACATTTCTTATTTATACAAATCCAACAAAAATCATGTGGAACTTTTATGATACGGTATGTTGGTTCATCAAATTAAATAACCTGGTAACTGGTTTTTCTCGGTTAAGTTCGGTTATTCTAAACCCGCTCAACCTGAATCTCACGGACCTCAAGATGATCAAGCTTCTTAGGCCGCTTGTAGTTTTTCAAAAGGAGAGAGCAACACACAACACTAACAGAGGAAGCAGCCATTGCAGCACCTGCAATCCATGGAGGCAACCTGAACCTCGTAGACGGGAAAAGCACCCCGGCAGCGATCGGTATGCCCATTAGGTTATACCCGAGAGCCCAAACGTAGTTGAGACGGATTCTTGAGAACGTTTTCCTTGAAAGATCAATAGCTGTGATCACATCTTCTAAGTTGCTTTTCATCAGAACTATATCAGCTGCTTCTATGGCTATGTCGGTTCCTGCACCAATCGCCATTCCTACATCAGCTGCCACGAGAGCCGGCGAGTCATTGATTCCATCACCCACCATTGCCACAACATGACCAGCAGCCTGCAAAATCATTGTTTGTTTTGATCAATTACAGTTTTGTGTTTATACATTTGATGTGGAGCCTATACGGTTTACCTGTAGTTCCTTGACTTTCTCTGCTTTTTGCTCGGGTTTAGCTTCTGCGATAACAGAGTCGATACCGACTTCTCTAGAAATGGAATTCGCAGTTCCCCAGTTGTCACCAGTTACCATGATGCTTATGATATTCATGGATTTTAGAATGGAGATGGCTTCTCGAGCACTCGGTTTTAGAGGATCCGAAACAGCCAGAACTCCAATCAGTTCACTGTTTATAGAGACAAGAATCCCGGTCTGGGCCATCTCTTCAGCTTCTGCTAGCAACTCTTCAGCGTCTTCTGGAATCATAACTCCATAATCAGACATAAGGTTCTTGTTTCCCACCATAATCTCTCTTCCCTTAACCGTCGCTTTCACTCCATTTCCAGTGATAGAAGCAAAATCAAGAGCTTCAGGCCACGCAGGGTTCTCTTCGTCATCTCTGAATTTCTTCGCGTATTCGACAATGGCCTTTGCTAACGGATGCTCGCTGTTTACCTGATAAAAGGATAGCGTCATCATAGTGATATCATTTTTTATGCATGCCATGAGTTTTAAACAAATTTAACCATAAGAATTTGTATGTGTGTTTGATAAGTAAAAGAGATTACCTCGGTTGCGGCAACAAGTTCATAGAACTCTCGAAGCACCATGTTTTTCACGAGTTTGGTTTTAACAACTACGGGTTTCCCCATCGTCAGAGTTCCTGTCTTGTCAAAGACAATGCAATTTACCTACACCAGTCATTAAATCTGTTAGGTTTCATCATCGATCTTAAAAAAACAAAACAGTATAGAAAACCTTTGTCAAGTGGACATAATATAACAGGCTATAGTGCAAGAGAGCCTATAAGCTCAGAAAGTAATCGCGCACAAACCTTGTGCGCTCTTTCTAGGGCTTGACCACCTTTTATCAGCACCCCTTGGGATGCACCAACCCCAGTGCCAACCATAACAGCGGTTGGAGTGGCCAGACCAAGAGCACATGGACAAGCTATGACCATGACAGAGATCCCAAACTGAAGAGCTAGCTCGAAGCTATCCATTGAAGAAGGAATCCAGGATTCAGGGTACCAGTGCAGTTTACCAGCTATAAACCAGGCAAGCCAAGTTGAGAACGAGAGGAAAATTACCTGCAACATTAATTTATAGTCTAGTGAGTTTAAAAAGTATTTGTGCCTCTAAAAGACTAAACTTTAAAAATTGGTTTACCAACAGTTCAGATTACTCACCAGAGGAACAAAGAACTTAGAAATTCGATCAGCCAACTTCTGTACTGGAGCTTTGGCTAGCTGTGCAGACTCCACAAGTCGAACAATCTGTGCAAGAGCACTCTCTGAACCAACCCTTGTAACCTTAATATGCAGGACTCCGTTCTCGTTCAAAGTGCCTCCTATTACTGTATCACCTTTTCTCTTTGCCACTGGCCTTGCCTCTCCAGTTATCATACTTTCATTCACATGACTTTGTCCCCATATGACATAACCATCTGAAGCTACTTTAGCACCAGGAACGATCTTGATCACGTCATTCTTCTGTATCAATCGACCATCAATCTCTTCTTCACCAGTCACATTCCCTTCCTTGTCCAAAGTCAACAATATCGCAGTGTCGGGTGCCAAGTTCATAAGCTTTGCGATCGCTTGAGATGTTTTTCCTTTAGCCATAATCTCCAAATACTTTCCTAGTATGATAAACGAAATGAGCATGGCACTAGTCTCAAAGAAATCAACTCCCTTGAAATCAGGAGAGGTCGCAGCTCTCAACACTGTGTATAACGAATAGAAATAGGCTGCATTTGTTCCCAGAGCAATCAGAACATCCATGTTAGCCGATCCCCGGCGTAAAGCCTTGTAAGAGCCAACATAGAATCTCCAACCTATGATAAACTGGACAGGAGTAGCCAAAACCCACCTTATGATTTCACCAATGGTGAGCATATTAATGACCTTAAACATCAGCAAATGTTTAATTCCAGGGATATACATAAACACCATGGCTGTCAAAAACACCGGTACTGTAAAAACCAAGCTCCAAAGAAACGACCTGTAGTACTGCTTAATCTCACCTTGCTTCTTAGACTCTCTGCCTACCCCTCCTTCGGAAAACACTGTTGCCTTGATGTGACCACTATGACCAAAGACAGTAGACTCTATCACACGAATGAAATTCCTTGGTCCAGTCACATCGGGTTTGTACAATACAGATATCTTATCAGCTCCACGGTCGAACTCAACATTCTGAACCCCAGGAAGTGCTTCAAGAGATCTTTCAATTATACTCATCGATTCATCAGTAAACTCACCATCAATCTTCAAATCGATCTTGCTCACATCTTCACCTGTACTTATAAGAACCGCCTCAAATCCAGCATTTTCTATCTCTTCCAGTAGTATATCATAGCTCAGGAGCCTAGGATCATAATGAACTTCAGCTTCTTCAATCGCTAAGGCAACATGAGCTCTTTGTACGCCATTAACTGATTGCAGAATTCTTTCGATGGTTGACGAACATGAGGTACAAGTCATACCGTTTATTCTTATCCTGCATACTTGCCTGGACCTCTCATTCGCTTCGTTTTCTATCAATGATGCTTCAAATCCAGCGTCTTCAATAGTCTCACGAATCGTCTCCACCTATAATCCATTTGAAAAGAGAAGAAGAAGAAGAAATCAGAGCCCTAAATTCCTAATTCCTACCACAATCAAGCTATACAAAGAAAAACCCTAAATCCCAATCAAGTCTACTCAGAAACAGCTCAATCGATTCACATGTCACTGAGATAGAACAATACAAGGAGAATCAGAAATTCAATTTCGAAGAAATAAAAACTTACATTGACAGATTTCGGATAAAACAGGATTTGAGCCCGATTGTTTAGCGCGTCGATGACAGCTTCGTGAATCCCCGGGAGACGCTTGATTTCTTTCTCGACAGATCCAGCGCAAGCGGAGCAAGTCATCCCCAAAACGCGGAAAACCGCCCTGGAGATCTCTTCCTCGTCGATCTCAAGCACCGCCGTCTCCGACGGTGATCCGCCGCCGTGAGATCTGATTAGGCGTTTCCGCACCACAGGGTATCGTTCGCTGAATCTCTCTTTCCGTATGCATGTGAGCGCCAATAGCTTCGTCGCCATGGAAATTTCACCAGAAAAGTTTTTCGTCTTCTGTGAGAATCTTATTCTCTCGTTTAAAATTTGATCTGCTTTTTGGTTTGTGGGAAATGTGTGAGACTTTGAATGGCTAGCTTTTTAAATACGAACGAAGAGGGAAAATTGGTTTCGGCTGCAATATGACAAAATATATGCCCCGATTCTGTAAATATTCAAACTAACGGGTCCTACCGAAAAAATACTGTATTTGAAGTTGCAACCACCGTCTAGGGATTTAATTACGGTGTTATTATTTTTTTCTTAATAAATGTTCATTATTACGAGTTTACGACATTCCATTCTATGAGTGAACAATGTTAATTTTAGTTTGAAGAATTATATACTTTTAGGGACTGGTTTGAAGTAGGTTTCCTTGTTTTTGTTTCTGTTTCATTAAACTGGCATTTTTTATTTGTTTTTTTTCATTTTCAAGGGAAAATAAAGGCAAGTAAAATTCTTTTCAATTTACATTTCTTTTTTGCTTCTGACGTACTTGTTGCGTGCAATAAATAAATGTATTATAAAATTGTCAACGAAACCTTGCCAATCCATATCCAGTTTATGGTAAAATGGAATCTATTATACATACGTGTCTGATCTTTTGTGGCACTCAACCTCGTAAGAAGTCGTACCAAACTTGAAACTGGCGGCTTTGAGAAGTCAAAGCATTATAAATGGGCCAAACTGAATTTTGAGGCCCATTTACTACTCTTTACGGCCTTTTTAGTAAGTTAATACATACGATATCGTTATGCATAATGAAATACAACCATGTTTCTTCTTGGTCTCTGAGACTCTGACTCTCTGCAAATTCTGATCTATTATGATTTCTAATTACAATCGAAATTTTTCAAGTATGTCACTTTCTTTTGGAAATTATACATCCAATGATGTATAACATAATATAACATCATAGATCCCAAATTATACAGAAAATCTTGCATAAACTCTATGTTCCTCTCTTTCTTTACAAACACTTTTTAAACACCCAACAAAACTAATCAAGAAAAAAAACATTACTTAAGAACTCAAACACACTCGTCAAAATCAGAGGAAAAAAAAAATCAAATCTTGTAAACGAGTCGATCGATTTACAGAGTTTCCAGTTAGCATTCATCATTCCACATTCTTCTCTCCTTCATTCTCATCACGAGTCAAGCGCGAGCTCGGCCCAAGCCAAAGAAGATGATCTAAGCTCTGCGGAAATAGACACACTGATTCTACTCTCTAACTTCTCGCAGAGCTCTTGCACTGAAGGCTTGTTGTTATTGTTGGTGTTGTTGTTCGGGTCCCGGTTCAAGCATTGGCTAGCCACTTCGCATACCGTTTCAAGCTCTTCTTGGTTAAAATGTTTCAGCTCTGGATCCACCAAACTCGCCATTGTCTCTGGCGCTTCAAGGAACTCCTTTGCCTGCACAATGCAACAAAACATGTGAAGAAGGTCAAAACTTCTGCAACGAAAACAACATTTGATAAAAACTAAACAGGTGAAAAAGGTCGAGACTTTCACACCCAGAGATCGCATAATTCCAATCTCATTTGGTTAACAGTGACAAAGTTTGAAGCTTTCTTCAAAACAGACAAGGAATTTACTCAGTCCAAGTCTTCAGAAGATAGTTTTTTGTTTTTCTTACCCATTCAATTAAGAAACCTCTGTCTTTGCAAAAAGGAGGTCTTCCACTGACAATTTCCAGCAGAAGGACGCCAAATGCATAGATATTACCCGATACATCGAGATATCGGCTCTCCATTGCGTTTGGGAGCACGCATATCACCCTGACTACTAATATTTCTCAAATTCTTTTCTGATCTCGCAAGAATTGTCTTCCAGCATTCGAAATCAACCAGCTGCATCAGAGAGAGCCAGACAAAAAAAGAAGGTGTGAACATAAGCTTAGCTTAGCTAATTGTATTGTTCTGATGACAAGCTGGTTTCACGTTACTTTACCTTGGGAGTAAAATCTTCAGTGAGATAGATTGCGTTTGAGCTCAGCTCAGAGATTGTAAATGGAGGATCAAGCTCCATATGGAGGTACTTGAGACCGCGTGCGATGCCTATGACAATCTTCATCCGCCTTGCCCACGATACTAAAGCCGCTTCCCCATCTGCATCAAAACGTTTTATCATAATACTGTCATATAGCTAAAACATTTCAGAGCAGGATGCAACAAAGCTCTGAGGAAGTTAGATTTTTACAGTGGAGATGCTCGTATAGTGTTCCGTTTGATGCATACTCAAAAACAAGCATTCTTGCGAACGGTGAGGTCTCTTTGCAGTATCCCAGCAATTTTCCTGCATTCTCGTGGTTCAGTCTAGCCAAATCTGCAACCTGACACAGCGCAAAAATGGCGTAGAAATCTCAGAAACTAAGCAGCTTTTTTTACAAAACGTTCTTTGTAACATGAGAAGAAGCTACCTCTCTCTGGAAATAGAGCTCGAGGTATCCTGTCCAATCTTCTTCTTTGACGCAAAGAGAAATCACCGCAATCTCAGGCCCACCTTTCATTGTTCCTTTATAGACCTGACTATCTGCAGATAAACCAATGATGTTGCTAAAGTCTTCACACGCCACTTCAAGCTCTTGTCTTGTGAATCTCGAAACATCCTTCAGCATTTCAGAATCTGGAGTAATAAAATAACACTTTTTGAGTTATTTGCTCCATGGATTTTGAATTGTAAAGTTAGAGAAATTTTGGAAAGATCCTAACCTACGTAGACTGTGAACTTTTCCTTTTCGCTTGAAGATTTCTTCCAAGGAATGATGAGAGATGATCTGTTGTTCCAGCGGTGAACTGCTGAGAAAAGTGCAACGAGAAGGAGCACACCAACCATTGATCCTGTGACTATCTCAAGAGCAAGAAGCCACTTAGGTTTCGATGCTCTACGATGCTTAGCCACAATTTCAGCTGACTGGTGCTTAGGGGGCGCACTCGGGTTTTCATGAGTTTTGACCAGCTGTGCATTACCTGCGATGGGGATTACATTTAGAAAACCAAATCTCGTTGAACATTTGTGTCTATGAAATGAAAATTTTTTATCTTACGCACCGCATTGGGAAGAAGGTCTATGCTTAAGATCCTTGTTGTGCAAGCAGTTCCCTTGAAAGCTCGTCCTAGTGACCAGCAAAAAAAAAAAGAGACTGTCAAGAAAAATTGGACATGTCTAGAGCTCGAGAAGAGAGCCTAAATGACAAGAATACCTTGGAAGGTACTCCAAACATTTTGGAATGTTTCCCACAAAGAAGTTGTATGAAAAGTCAGCTACTTTCAATAGAGAAGACCTGCACAAACCGGCATTGTTTGCACTTGAATTTGAAGAGAACCTGAATAAACAAAATTCCATTAACATTGCCATCGTAGACAGAAGTCACAGAACTGTTGCAGTTTCTGCTTCTTGAGCTTATTAGCTAAACTTACACTTTTGACGGATAGCCCGATGCTCCAGCAGCAATAAGACTTCCTTGAAGCCTATTCCTGTCAATATGAAGTTCTCTAAGGTACTTCAAGTTACCGAGCTCTGGAGGCAGCTTTCCAGTTAAACCATTGGACTGAAGGTTTCTGTAAAAATGTGAAACAAAACTGTTGTCTCAACAACTCATCTGTTAAAAAGGTATGAAAAGCGCCAATTTGACAGTGACGAAAAGGTTGAATCTTTATTACAGTATCACAACGCTGGACAAACTCCCGATCTCTGCCGGGATCGGTCCCATCAGATGATTGTTTCCCAAGTCCAAGATCTTGAGATTCTTTAACTTTCCTATCTCCTTGGGTATTGTCCCGAGTAGAATGTTCCCATGTAGGATTCTACAGAAGCATGAAATGACGTTAACTCTTAATCTCAATGCATCAACTACATATTTGTGAGTATGTCGAGAGAGATGAACCGCACAGTTCCTGCAAGTAGGTTATTTGACCCAATTCTGGCGCAAGAAACCCTTTTATCGATGAAGCCGATATGTTTCTGCACGAAGAGAAGATCCACAGAATAAAAATCACACAAGTTAATCTCACACTAAACTACTCAGAAACAACTGATCTTGCAGATTGACACAAGAATAAGTGAATGCAAGATAATGATCATAGATTCTTACATCTTGATAACATGGTCTTTAGATGGAGAGCAATCAATGCCGGTCCAAGCACAAGGATCTGACTTTGGGTCATTCCAATTAGACATAACTAGAAAAGGGTCCTCATAGATAGCTTCCTTGAATCTTCTAAGTGCTTCAACTGAGAAATAGAAACAAAAATAGATCAAATCTATGAGATCATTTGTATGATCAAACCTTGAATTAAAAGTTTTAACTTCATAGATTCGGCTGATTCTCTCTAAAAAAGTATAATTTCTTGGGATGATTGAGATTCTAGACTAATCTCGACTCTATTCAAGTAAACTGTGTAATTTTCAACCGAGATTCATGGAGACTGGAGAATCGTAAAGGTTCGAGATTTTTCAAGCATTTTCTTTCCTTTTCTTAGTAACCTAACAAGCGAGAAAACGATTAAAATCCAAAGAATCTGAGATCTGGGTTTAAGAAAATTAACTCCACAGATGAGAATACGATTAACAATACCTTCGTTAGAAGCAAACCCATCACAAGTAACGAAGAAGAGCACAAGAACAAGAGAAAGCTGTAGAGCTAAAGAACAAAAGTTCGATCTCATTTTTTCTTGTAGTGTTCTTTCTGAAGATTCCCTCAAATTCGGCTCATTAAACCCAGATTCTCTCTCGAATAACCAACTAATTCCCAGATGAAAAATCTGGAGAAGAAAATGGAGAAAGACGAGAGCTTTCCTCGAGAAGTACTCTGCAGAAACGAAATGTTTAAGCTCAAGAAGAGACCAAGATTAGCAAAGTGAAACAGAGAAAAGAAAGAGAGAGAAGCTGAAGAATAGACAAGGAAATGGTAAAGAGTGGTGAAACTAGAGGAGATTAAAGGATTTAGCAATAAACCTATCAATGGAAACTCACTAAGAATGGAAAAAAAAAAAAGTAGGAATTAGCAGAGATGATGAAGTGTGGAGAGAGAGAGGAGAGAGAGAGAGAGAGAGAGAGAGAGAGAGAGAGAGAGAGAGAGAGAGAGAGACTTGGATTCAAAGACAGGTTTTTTGTTTTTAATTTTTCCTTGTTGGAGGGGAAAAATGAGCTTTAAATTTTCTAGAGAAATAAGTAAAATAAATTAGACGAAAAGAGGACCAAAAAAAGGTCTGGATAATTATTGCTATGAAAAATAAAAGAAAATAATTAAAATTTTACAGAAAGAAAGAATGTCTCTTCCTCTTTTTCCTTCTATTTATTTTACTTTGGGAAAAGCTTAATGTGATTCTGAGTTATTTTTAAAATGTTCTTAATTATTATGGGTGTTTAACATGAATGTTTTTGGTGTTTTTTTCAGTTTAGAAGAATAATAACAACAAATTTCATTATATATGTGGCATATAATAATTCTAGTACTCAGGAAATATCCAAATATTTCTATATCAGGAATTGATTATCCTATTGGAATATGTACAATTTTGTTTCTGCATGAGATTTCAATCGTGATTGCTAATATTTTTTATGCATAATGGCAAATAAATACATTATCTGTTAAGAAAAAAAAATCGTTAATATCTTTAGATTCAAATATACTTCAGTAACTAATCTACTAAAAAGCTTCATATCTATATATACGCCAGAAAATTTTTTCCAAGAAATCATAATAAAGGTGTATTATATATAATACTGTTGGAAATGAATAAATCACGTTGGATGATTCTTAGTTATAGAGTATAATATTGTTGCTAATCATTGAAATAATAGCGCGTTTAATTATAAAGAGAATTTTCATCGTACGGTGTCTACGGTGATCTAGAGTTTTGCTAAGCTGCTGGTGGGACATACCGTACTACCGTAGACCGCATCTATGCATGAATTGTATTTAAATCGGATGGTATGCAACATTAATGTACACAACAAGAAATTCTTTAATTTGACATGCAACCGTAAGAAAATACTGTTAAGGCTGGCTAATAATTCTATATATTTTTTTTCGGCAAACAATTCCATTCATTTCAAATCGAAATTACAAAGTTTTACAGAATTTTCAAAAAACAAATTATTACATAAATAGAACTTTCGGCGCATATATTTTCATTTATATATTATTAAAATAAACATTAGATAGTTGTAATGAGCTTTTTTGTTTTATCAGTAAACGTATTTATTAAAGTAAATTTGGCTAATAGGGTTATTTTTATTTGGAACATAGTTTTTGTTATTTGGAACACAGTTTGTGGAAAATATCCAATTGGTTTGATTTACATGGAAACAAAAAATATATGTTTAAACCCTTTTTGTAAGAGAGTTAGCACCAGCATTCGATCAAAATGCGAAGAATCAAAAATAAACTAAAGTCTTTAAAATCATTTTTAAAGATATGAGAAACGTCTTATTCCGATATAAAAGCCGGCCACACTGCCGAGTTCTCGATCATATTCACCAGTTTATATAATCTGTCTCGAAATAGCGTATGTTTTTCTTTTAGACATGACATAATCGAAAGAACCAATGAGTTCCTATATGCATACTACATTACTAGTACATGAATTATTTTTTTTTCCTTAAAACAAGTAACAGTGTGAAGGATAAAAGGTCCTTCGAAAATTACGCTACCAATCGTCCGAGCTTGTGCTTGGTGTGCGTGATATTATGTTTGAGATTTGTCTTGTTGTTTGTTTTAGTGCATAAACAATTTTGCCCCAGAAATAGAATTTTTTCGTCATAGCATCTCCACCACCACCACCGTATGGCTCTCTTACTCGAACTCACGGAGTGGAAGTCTTTGACAACGCCAACTTATATTTGAATACAAAGTAAAGAACAAACTAAAAACTAAAAAGATAAAATAAAAACGCAATTATGACGTTGTTGGACCAAAATATCAACTACTATTTCGGACAATCAAAATTTCCAAAATAAGTTTAGGTAATTTTCGAATATCTCATTGTAACAATATAAATTTGCAATGGACAACAGCATTAACGGTGACTAAATCCAATTCCTTACCCCACATTATGTAGGGTTGTTGCTACTTGGTACATTAGAAGAGAAAAGGAGAATGAGTTAAAAAAAAAAAATTTCTGATACACAGGAGAATGAATGTTAAAAGTCTCCGAAAGTAGAAAAAAAAAACCTTTTCGAATAGATTCTGAGAAGAAGAAAGGATTCTATATAAAACCGGACTAAAAGGCGAACACATTTCTCAATTAATGTGATTAACTATTCGTAACAAGTCTGCTAAAATGAAATGTATGGAAATGCGAAAGCAGAATTTTCTAAACAAATTAGGTCGCAATCCTACATATATTATATGTATAAGAACACTAAACATCGCACAATATTAAAAATTAGGACGCATTCTGTGTTGCGTTTTGTTGTAATCTACTTTTCTTTGTGTATTCTATCAAAGAAGAATGGATTGCAAGATCATCTTTCCAATATTCGATTGATCTCTTATTGAAATTTACTGAATTCGTCTAAGGGTTTGGTTCTTAGATTTTGTTCCGTTCTTTCCTCTCTTCAACAGTTCAATCGTAAATGGCATGAGAGTGGTGAAGTTTGCAATACGTATTCTGCTGCAAAAACATCAGCATCAAATCGCATGATACAGCGAGTTAATTAGATTATCATATCAAGCGAGTTAATTAGATTATCATATCAAGCGGGTTAATTCGATAATCATATCCAAAACATATATTATTTTGAATGTTACTTCAGAAATTTATTGATTATGGTGTTGATTGCTTCACCCGCGATCACCCGCAAATGCTGCGTTTGCAGTTGGTAGTGGTTATTAACATTTTATCATAGTCATAAAAATCACTGTAAATCGCTTCATATTGTTTTATACCGCTGAAATCCAAAAGTTGCTTCCCGCCAGCATTTACAGTTGCGGGTGGTAGCGATTGGATAAAAAAATATATAAAAAAATCACGCTAGAAAAAAAAAAAAAAGATCACATTAAAAATAATTATAAAACCCTAATCCTACTAAACTTCTCCTATATATATAAACCCTAACCTATCATTTTTTTATTAAGTTCTAGTCTCTAATCATAGTTTTTATACCAATTGAAAAAATTAAGATACAAGCATAAGTGTCATAATACTTTGGTTTAATTCATTCATATTAATTGTTCTGTTTCCACTTTTAAAGTAAAAAATTATGAATATGTATCTTATTAATTACAAAATTAAATTAGTTTGTTACAAATTTTTTTCTGTTTTCCAAAAAGTTACATGATCAAACGAGATGACATGTGCGTTACTTCAACGAATCATTGTGAAAAAACAAATTGAAGATAAAAAACATATTTTGAGTGCACTCCAGAAAGAACGTATTCTGAAGAATACTAATGAGCAATTTGTAGTTGATTTGAGTTATGATCGTGAAAAAAAATCGATTAGATCAATTGAAGAAATTTTATATCATGCATAAGATAAATCCAGAAAATCCACGTATTAGAGCAAATTTTTTCCAATCTATTACATTATTAAACATAATTTTAAGTGATGTTTCCAATAATTGAAATACAACATGTTATTATAAAATTTATTTGTTTTTAAAATAATTATTTTATATTTTTATAATTTTTATTAATTATTTTGAACTAATAATTTTGATATTAACCATAATAATATAGTTTACTGTTTTTTTTAATAATTATATATGATGTTTATTTGGTAATTTAATGTTTAACCGCTAAAACATCTGTTGATTTGCCAGTCAAAATGTTCCGTAAACGGACCTGCGTTAAAAAGTTTAACCAGTTATATAAACCGTTTAATAACGCTGAAAACCGCAATCGTCTGTTTCTGCAAATTTCCGCACTCGTATTCGCAACCGCAACCACTGCATTTAAACCAATCAAGCCTAATTAATTAATGCAAACATTATCCTAATTACTAACACAGTAATAAAGTTAAGAAACATCAAATAGTCTAAGAGATACAGCGCTTAACAACTCTATCAATTTAATAATTTGCATAAAATAATTGTCAACAAAGTTACACAACATATATTTCCAATGTTTGGTACACTATGTCATCCACATTTTTAATTAGATGAACCCAACAAACCCCTCGTTTTTTCTTTTTTTTTTTATCAAACAACAAACTCCTCGTTTATTTCTAGTACATTCTACGTTTCTTATGTTTGTACAATAAAATTATATTTATTGTATAATTGGCATCGCTTGATCTTAACTTCATAAAATTGAACAACAAACAAGAGAATGAGACAAATTACCCATGCGTGTTCGGTGTTCCATTTGTTTGTTTCTATACTATTATTGAACGTATGCATATACACAATTAGACGATTTTCTTGTACATATATTTGCACACACAAATCAGAATAAGGATCAAAGGGATCAGTTGCTAGCATTTAGTATTGTTGAAGTTATAAAAAATATGTATCCATTTACCAAATTGTTTTTAAAAAAATGTTTTTTTTAGGTCTATAATTTGTGATCGGTATAAAATTTGGCCATACCTCATTATATCTCTTGAGTCATTTTATGTTTTATGTTTTAATTGTGTGTGCACTTATTCGAATGAAATCTATTTTATGCATGCCTTTTCGATTTTTATAATCATGATATATTAGCTGAAAATGCTCTACTGTAAACTGTAAAGTGAAAATAATTCTAATTAACTAGACATGAATTTTTTATCAATTTAAAAAAAAATAATAACTAGGACATGAATTAGGTTCCCCAGTCGTTACGCCCAATGCTTACAAGCAAACATTGAGTAGATACTAAGGGAAATTGATAAGGACCATAATGAATACACAACTTTGTGATGACATCAAATTTAAATAGGCCACTTGTCCAATCATAACTTTTGACCCAAAAATTATAGTTTACTGTTGCGGAATTCAAAAGTTCAGTAGTTGTCTCAAAGATACTTTTAGACATTTTTTAGATCTAACCGTGTATGCAAATACGGTATAGTGTGTCTAAGATCTAACCGTGAAATCTATTTTACAACAATACGATATATGTAGTTGATATCATGTAGATAATTTTCATCCTTCAAGCTTTTCTAATATTTGTGAGAATTCATTATTTAACGCTATTTAGATTTATCTCAATTGTCAACTAACTCGATTATTATGTTTTTAACCTTGTTTTTTGCATGGGAGAAATCTGAGTCAAAAAAGATTCACCGACGTGCACGTGAGGAAAACAAAAGGGAACATTTAATGAAAAATGAACAAACCAGCATTATAATATACATAAAATAACTAAACAACCAATAATAAATACACCTTCCGTCACCATGATATATATACATCATTCTAATATCCTAATGGTTTTATTTAAATTTTATGTTTTTTTAATAATTACTTCACTTATGTGTTAAGAAGAGATACACGTCTGTTCCACCAAGACGAGTAACCAAGTTGGTACCTAATGCTTTATACAATATCCCCGTCATAAAGTTGATATGACAAATTATTGGAATTTGGTTTATGATTAATCACATGATAGTAATAGCTTTGTGATACTATTCTCATAAATATGATGTTTCAATTTTTCAATAATTAATCAAGCTTGTAAGATTTATATTTAATGAACTTTGTAAATTCATCAAGTCAGGAAAAACCTAATAAATAGTTGCAAGTGTATGTGAAGGTTTTCTCTGTTGACATAATGACATCCGATACATTTTATTCATGGATTTGACCACTAATTTCCTCATCAAGCTATGATCAGGTATCTTCTCATGCCTTCTTAATCTCCAAGAACATCCGTATACCTGAATCAGAAAGAAAAATAAAAAAAATATATATACAAAAACCATATGGAACTTTATAATCCCGATTCATCTGTTATTTACTACCAATTATTTGGAAAATCTTTTATCTCTGAAGTTCACAAAAAATAACACCGAACGATCAATAGATATACGGGAAAAAAAACACACAAGGAACGATATATTTCTCTAATTTATAATTAATCTAACATGATCCGATAAATGAAAGCTAAAATCAAAATTCCCAACCAAATCTAAACCACATATCAATTTGGATAACATCATTTCATTGAACCTATTGCACCTTTTCCCAGTAAGCGTCTTCCCATTTCTCTACTTGCCGTATGAGATTCAATTTCTTCCTATGGAACTTCTCAAGACCGTTGGGATCAAAAGGAGGAGGAAGTGAACATGGATCTGAAATCGGAGGCTCATAAACTAAAGAGCCCATCAAAAACCTCTTATTAGGCCCATTAACATCTCCAGAAGGGCACACCATTGCTTCTGTGCAGATTTCAACACTGTTTTTGGAAGCTTGAGGCTTGTACTTAAGAAGCTTTGAGTATTCATTCAACAAATGGAACATGTAATCATACACATTTTCCATTGATAGATCTCTTTGCATGAACTCACTTGCTCCTCTTCCAATCTCTTGAGCCTGCAAAAATAAAAATAAAAAAACTTTGAAAATTTGTAGGCACAATTATGTGACTGAACTTTTTTTTTTCTTCTTAAACGTGATTGAACTTAATCAGATTGATGTGATATTTTTTATAGATTCACAAATAGATAGACTGATCATGTAAGATTATCTAGAAAGAGGTAGTAACAAGATTGGATAATGGTACCTTTTGAGTGTGATTATTAAGCCAATCAACAGCAAATTTGATGGATCTACATTTATCCTTATCCTTAATGGGCCAATAGTGTTGGAGAGGTTGAAGAGTTCTTGAGAAGAAATCATAGTAATAAGGTTTCACCATCAAGGTTACTGAGTCACATGCTAATATGTATTTCTCACTCACTGACCATCCGTACCCTTCTATATAGATCTTGTACCTGCACAACCAAATTTACACCTTGGTACAATGAGGCAAAAGATAATATATATAAAGATTAGTACTACTAACCTGTGAGTGCATTGATTTGCTACATTTGAATTCTCAAATCCTCTTTGTCCTTCTGATATCCAATCCTTTGTAGGTTACAAAAATAAAATATTGGTTATAAGCTCATTTTTGTTTTCGCATGCATGAAAATTAATGATTATATATATACGAACATAAGTTTGTAGAATCATACCTGAATGAAAATTCTAGCATTCCAATCATGTTGCGAGGATAAATTGCAAGTGAGGAGGTCTTCTCTTGAAGGAGATGCAACAAAAGGGTTCCCTTTCCAATAAGCATAAGCCTCTCTTTCCATAAACGTCTTCTTCTTCTTTCCTTGTTCCATTTCTTTCAACACCTTACTCCATGGCTTTATGTTTATCTCTTGCCTTCACTCACCAATTAATTCTTTGTATTTCAGTTTTATTCATTTATCAACCATGCAAAAAAAAATCATCAATTATCAGAAAACCAGCCTAAATCTAATATGAAGCTACCAATGTAATTCTGGATCTACATTTCATGTTTTGCTGGAAAGGTTGAATGATAAAAGAAATTAAAAAGGGTAGAAAGTAGATCACTTAAGTAAAGCCTAATAAGTGATAAATAAACTACAACCACATGTATTTAAAGTTGTAGTGGCGTTGAGTGGAGACTAATCAATGACTAAGACCCTGTAAGTTACTAAACACAAAATGAATCTTTGTATTAGAAAATCACAATAGAATCAAAATTTTTTCCCGGCATGTGATCAAGTGGGGACAAGTGTACGTTAACAACCATACACACTTTAGACAAAAAACCAAAAGAAGAAAGAACAAAAAAAGAAAGAGAGAGAGGAGATTATATTCCAGTACATACCATCCCCAGAATGACCAATCTGGAAACACAATATCCACCGTCCATCTATCCCCGCAGTACCTAAATAACGCAGGTGGTCCATCTTCAGCCGTAGGATTTAGTTTACTAAAGCCGTCCGATTTAATGACTGGCCGATCATCGCAGTCAAACATGAGGTCCACGTCAGGTAACTTCCCTGGATACTTTCTCAGCAGCTGAAGAATCCCCCACAGTGTGAACGCGTCTCTAGTCAGTATAGACTTCTTGTAGTTTTCGACGAACACCTTGCCGTTTGTAATAACTAACCTGAAATGCGCTGTCGTTTTGCCATTTTCCACCATTTCTCTTGTTATCCCGGTTTCTCTCCATGGCTTTAGATCCTCGTGGATCCACTTGAAGTAATCAGGACACGACCGGTTTGATTCCGTTTGGTTATGATGAGAACCGGGTTGAGGTGTCCGCGAGCAAGAAGCTGGCCGGTTTGGATTCCAGAAACTTGTGCAGTTTACCGAGATTCCGGTTTTTTGCGTTGATTTTTTCTCTGGTACACGTACCGGAACCGGTTTTGTTGTTATTATTGTCGGTTGATCATATGATTTTGTCTGTGGTAAACAATGTATCAATTTTATTTTTCATTGAACAAAATATTAGGAATTAACTAACTATGTGATGAAAAGAAAAATAATTACCTTGTTAATCCATTGAGGTGTTCTTGAGCAAGAACCGGACTGGTTTTGATTCAACAAACTTGTGCAATTTACCAATACTCCGATTTTCTGCGGTGGTTCTAGCTCCGGTACCGGTACCGGTTTTGTTGCTACTAATGTCAGTCGATCAAATTGTTTCGTCGTCTTTAATAAACAAAAAAGAGGATTTTAATAATTTTAATTTTCATGATAATGTGATTATATATTGAAAAAAGCTTAATTAATCACCTTGTTAAGCCATAGTGAAGAAGTGACGGCAACACCAACGGCGACAAGGAAGAGGAGAAGTGTCAAGGTGGCCACGTGGAGTTTTCCGACAACCGGACGGTAAGTTTTAAAGTCGGAGATTTTAGAAGTGAGGGCTTGAGGTTTAGAGAACAGAGAGGTCATTATTATGATTTTCTTTGGATATTAAGGGAATCTTTTGTCTTCTTTATTTTCGTTATATCTCGAAATCGGGTTTCTTTCTCTCTCTTCCAGTCTCTCTCTTATTTTTTTCCTCTTAATTGTTTTTTATTTATTTGAACTTAAAAAAATTAAGCAGGACAAAACAATGGAAAAAAAGGATGTATGAGTGGGTTTGAGAAAAAAGGACACGACATTGATGATGATAGTGGACTTTGTTTTACTATATTCTTTGGAATTTGGAATCCAAATTACAAATATCACTCGATCGTGTAAATCACGTTACCAGTTACCATCATACACTACTACAACTATTTTGACCGTCGTAATGCACGTTAAAAGGGTGTATGTATATTTTTTAATCTATTACTGCACAGTATCTATTAAAAAATTCTACCATTTACGTAATAAATAAATAATTGATTCATTGTTCACCATAAACGAACTTATCTAAGCTAGATATATATACATAGATATATAATCCAGTCATGAAGACTTTATATAGACGATCTTTAGAACTTTTAAACTGCAATAATCTTTTTTAAGAAGAGACTTATTGTGGAGAATGTGCTTTTAGCTTCTGAGCTTGTCCAAGGTTATAATAGCAGTGGTACTTCAAAGAGAGGAATGATTAAGATTGATCTGCAAAAGGCCTTCGACTCCATCGAATGGACATTTATCCTTGATATTCTAAGAGCTACTAACTTCCCCCCAAAGTATATTGCTTGGATTAGTCAGTGTATTTGCGCGACGAGGTTCTCCATCTCGGTAAGTGGCGAGCTCTGCGGGTATTTTAAAAGGAAGAAGAGCTTGAGACAAGTGGATCCATTATCTCCATATCTCTTTGTCATAGGAATGGACATTTTCTCAAGACTCCTTGACCTCCGATTTGAAAGTGGCCTTATTGGCTTCCACCCAAAGACTCAAAATCCCAACGTCACCCATTTGATTTTTGCCGATGATGTTATGGTTTTCTTCGATGGAGAGCAGGGTTCTCTGGCCGAAATTTTGAAACTTCTTGACTACTTCTCCAATATCTCCGGTCTAATCCTGAATAGAAACAAAACGGATTTATTCTTGGCAGGGTGCAATAGTGTTGAGACTGTTGATATGACCAACCTCTCAGGTTTCCCTCTTGGCTCGCTCCCTGTCAGGTACCTAGGCTTATCTCTGTTGCCTAATCCTCTCTGTCGAGCTGATTGTGAACCTCTTATTCAGAAAATCAGAGATAGGTTAAGCTCTTCGACAGTTAGGCCGTTATCATATGCAGGGAGACTTCAGCTTCTAACCTCTGTTATCCAGAATATTGTGGGTTACTGGTGTGCAGCTTTTATTCTTCCTAAGCGGTGTATTAAGGATCTTGATAAGCTCTGTCGCAGGTTTTTGTGGTCGGGAACAGCTGAAATACCGAAGCAAGCCAAGGTTAATTGGAACCAAGTGTGTTCTCCTAAGAGTGAAGGCGGCTTGGGCCTAAAGAATATTGGGCTTTGGAACAAGGTTTATGGTCTGAAGTTGATCTGGCTCTTGTTCTCTGCATCGGGGTCTTTGTGGGTTGCCTGGTGTCGGAAAATAAGTTGAGGAGAAAAGGTTTTTGGCAGCTGTCGCCTAATGGTAGAGGCTGCTCAATGTGGAAACAAATTCTTAAGCTCAGGCCGTTAGCGTCTAAATACCTTTCATGTGCGATCGGAAATGGCCAATCCTGCTCTTTTTGGTTTGATAGATGGACGCCGTTTGGCCGGTTATTTGATTTCCTGGGATCTGAGGGGCACAGACTGTTGGGTCTCCCTCTTGATGCTATGGTAGCGCAAGCTATGACCGAGGAGGGCTGGATATATAGAGGCGCAAGGTATGATAATGCAGAACTTCTTTTGTGTCACCTTACCTCGATCCTCCCTTCTTCTCATGCTCCAGACCAATTTCTTTGGCTCCGTAGGTCGGGAGAGGCCAAGAACACATTTATTTTCTCAGATACTTGGAATTTGATTAGACAAGAGAGACAAGATGTTGCTTGGCACACCCAAGTATGGTTTTCTGGGTATGTCCCGAAGCACTCTTTCATTATGTGGCTTTGTTGTCTTGACAGAATGCCAACTCTATCAAGGCTATTATCATGGAGTGTAGTGGAAGATGATACCTGTTATCTCTGTGAAATCTACGGTGAAAACAGGAATCATCTTTTCTTAAGATGTCACTATAGTCATGAAATTTGGAGATGGTGTGCCCGGAAGCTTCTATGTCCATTCATTGGATTCAGTAACTGGAATCATCTTCTCGACTGGTCCATGGTTCCCCCGCGGAACTCATCTCCGGCGTTTCTGAGGCTCATAGCAACTCAAGCGATCGTATATGCAATCTGGCAAGAGAGGAATGCAAGGATTTACAAAGGTATAAAAACTCCAGTGAATGTCTTGCTCAAGACTATCGACCGAGGCATAAGGAATACGTGCTCGGCTAGACGGCATCTTCCTCGGTTTGAAGATGCTCTTTCTTTGTGGTTTCGAGACTCTTAATCTCGTTGGTGCTTGTGTAATTGCTCTTGACCCGGTCTTGTTCAAACCGGTTTTCCCTTTCAGTGTAAGGCTGTTTTCTTTCTTTTTCTTCCTCTTTGTTTATGTAATATGTAATCTGCTCCGTATCAATATAATACAGAAATTCTACAAAACAAAAAATAATCTTTTTTAAGTTAACCTTCGATTTGGAATACAATTTTCTTTGGTTTTGATAAACCAATGAATCTTCTTTTTTAATCAACGATAAACCAATGAATCAATAACAGTTTTTACAGTTCTTATCTTCACTTGTGATAGCTTACAAGTTCAAAAACATATTCCTATCCAGTTGAAATACTTTTAATTATGTGGTTACATTACACCATATATTCTCTAGTATTTCAAAATTCAATTCTTTTGTGGAATAATATCTATTTCACAGGTCAGTTTTGCCTCTGCTCGAGGGTTATGGATCTAATGTTCAAATGTTGATTTTGATATACATATATTTGTCTGGAATCTGGACTTTACATATTGGTAACGTGTCATTATATGCATAAATTTTGTTTCTGTTCAACAATTATGCATATATAGATTCACGTAATCTTTAGTGTTTAGATCACCGACAAATAAATCTTGAAAAGTCAATATCCAATAACCTTGTGGCGATTCTTGTCTTTGGATGAAATTAGTTTACATATTTAAGGTAAATAAGAGTGGTTTTGTGAAAGTTATTAATTAAATTTCACTCATTTTTACGTTACACATAAATATGATTTTTTGTGGATATATATGGTTAGTACACAAATTGGTGTAACTATAACTATAATTATATAAACAAAGAACTCCCATAAATATATATATTTAAAAGTTGTTCAAGAAAGTATTGAGCTTCCGTCTATCTTATTGATCCATCTTATTTTTACATAAGGAATTTAAAAGTTGTTCAAGAAAGAATTGAGCTTCCGTCTATCTTATTGATTTATCTTATTTTTACATAATGAATCTAACTTCAAGTCTTCAACGATATACTAATTGAATACAAATTGCAAAAAAAAAGCAAATCCTCAAATGGACAGGATTATGGTGTGCGTGAATCATTATTATATATAACTCACATAAACTGAAAGTTAAAAGTTATTGCAAGATAAAAAAAATCGAAAAGATTGAGTTAAAAAAATTATATTAGGATCATATGAAAAAAATAGCAACGCAAAAGAAATTGATAATCTGATTAGAGATCTAAAAATAGTATACAGTATTTATTTATAATAAAAAATTCAACAAAATTTGACTGTTGACTCGAATATTACGTCTTTAGTTATGAGATCATACGAGATTTGATTTGACTTCAGTACGGTATTCAACAATCATATACACAAAATATGATATCTTATACATTGCCCAAAATCCGCGAATGATGTCAAACATTAAAATATATCATGTATGTATCCTATAGTTATGCACACGAAAGTTTAGTAGAATTGATAGTTCCAAAAACAAATTGTATACTAGAATGATAATTCAAAATTACCAAGGAAGAAAATAAAGAGAAATAGAATTAAAGGAATACAAACTACATAAGAATACTTAAGTTCAAAACGATTAATGTAGTAATATAAATTACATAAATAAAAAAAGATTCATTACAAAAGCTTTTAAAATTTCATCTCGTAAAAGAATGTTATGACTCAGAGAAACGCAAACCAGAATGTTACCATTTTGTCCACTCAGTAACCCATGAGAATTCTGACACTTGACGTAATTGTGTGACCAAATGGATTGATCCCCAAAGCCCCTTGTAAACATAGCATGATGGCTGGCTTGATTGGTTAGTCTTACAAGCTCATGGACAGTAGATGGACAGCCCACGAGTAATGAAAAAGCTAGTATACAACCCTACAAACACAGTAACAGTAGACACTATTGTGAGTCTTCTTAGCATATCATGAAACATAAAAGGACATCTCTCATCAAACTCAGCTCTCTATGACAACATATGCGAGGAACCAAGAAAGCGGCTCTTAATCTCCTAGGAGAGTTCAACTAAGGGATAAACACAAAAACAAAAATAAGGAACTCATTAATAACAGAACAAAAACATAAAAAAACAAATCCTTAGAAAATTTATAACAAAGCACATAAAACTAACCCTAAAATACGGAAGCTCCACTTACACGTCGATGCTCTTCTAAAACAGTGCCACAATGTAGTAGTGTGAAATTTAATGCATTTGCATTAACCATCACGTCATCCTCTTCCATAGGTTCATGAGCTCATGTATTGACAGTGACGGTTCATTACTTAATTCTCCAAAATTCCTATAAAGTGCCTCCATCTGCCTTATTAAGACAATTGCCCAACACACACTTCCATGTTGATTGAGAACCGAACCAAACCAAAAAATCGATAAAAATTTTGTACTTCAGTTCAATATTCAATTTAGCATTACAATACATTGTTTTGTTCAAAAATTGTACAATGAACAAGATTAAATACTAGATAAATCAATGGAAGGTA